GAAGAATTGATGCACTTGAGTTATGATGTTGGAGGAGAATATTTTAAAATGCCATGGGCTGCCAAAAGAACAAACAGATCTGTGTTGGAAGAAGTACAGCCAGAGTGCTGAACATGGACCATTTCTTTTGGTACAGTGACTCTGTATATTACTTCCATCTTCTTATGATGCTTTCATGCTTTTGATGCTTTCTTCATCATTCAGAGTGCTCCTTGGAGGCCATGATGGCCAGACTTCGTCTCTCATACTTCAGACATATTGTCAGGAGGGATCAGTCACTGGAGAAGGATATCATGTTTGGTAAGGTGCAGGGTCAGAGAAAAAGAGGAAGACAAAGTGGCAGCATCAATGGGCAAAGTGGCAGCATCAATGGGCAAAGTTTGTGAGGTTGGTCCAGGATCAGGCAGTGTTTTGTTCTGTTGTGCATAGGGTCGCTATGAGTCGGTACCAACTCGATGGCACTTAACAACAACAACCCTTCCTGATGTTGCATGGTAGGATAAACACTTGACTGTTAACCACAAGGTCAACAGTTCAAATCCACCAGCCGCTCCTCAGATATCCTATACAGGATCACTTTCAGCAGCTGAACCGACTTGACGGCTCTTAACAACAGCAATAACCCTTCCCCCAGTGGATTCTGCACGCTTCAGTTTACACCACATCAAAATGTTAATTTAAATATCCTCAAGGAACTCAAATAATTTTCCTTTTAAATGTTCTTTGGGTGTGGGGAACAAAAAGAAGTCTGAAGGGATAAAATCAGGATTGTAGAATGGATGGAGTAAGGTTTCCCAACAAAATTCTCACAGGACAGCCTTTGCTATCCTTGAAATACAAGCAGGTACGTTGTCATAATGGGAAAAAAAATCCTTAGCACAACTTTCCTGACCTTTTCCTCACCAGTGCAGTTTTCCATTTTTTAAAAACGTCTTCATAATAAATCCCCAGGATTGTGTCCTTCAAGAAAACCTATCAAAATGACCCCTTCAGAATCCCAGAAAACAGTCACCATGACCTCCTAAGCAGACCTCTCTGCCTTGAATTCATCTTTGATCCATCTGAAAACTGTTGTGTTATGGGGAGCTAGCATTCCCAGTTGCAAAATTTCCACTTTATTTTTGTTACAAATTTGATAGGAGCCCTTACCTCCAAATCATTTTTCCCCATGGCATAGAAAGTATCGCATTTTTTTGTTTTGGAAGGCACGCTAACAAGACTTGGACTAGTGTATTATTGAGACAACTTATCTGTAGTCATTCACCAATGGCAGAGCCATATTTAAACACATTTTTTTTGGAATAAACCAGTGTATATAGGAAGGAACTCTGGTAGCGTGGTGGTTACAAGTTGGGCTGCTAACCTCAAGATCAGCAGTTCAAAATTACCAGCAGTTCTGCGGGATAAAGACAAGGCTTTCTGCTCCCGTAAAGATTTACAGCCTCAGAAACCCTGTACAGGGTCGCTGTGATTTGGAACCGACTCCACATCACCATCACCACCATATATGAAGTGAATAGAATACGAATAGCAATACGTTTTTACTTTCCCTCCTACTTAAGGAAGTACAACAGAGCTGCCTCCCAAATATAAAAACAGAACCACACCTCTCTGGGTTCCCTGTGGACTTACTCCCCTATGAGCAGTTGCCCACCCATTAGTGGTAGGAAGGCCACATTCCTCCAGGTGTTCCCCATGCCACATTCTGTGTTCTCAGCGCCTCTGCTCTCCTCCCTGCAGAGCCTGTTCCTTCAATTCGATGCAGACAAGTCTGGCACCATGTCCTCCTATGAGCTGCGGATCGTGCTAAAGGCAGCAGGTAAGAAGGTACCTGAAAGGTCTTGGGAAGGCCAGTGTCCAAGCCTGGCTCCAGGTGCTCTTTGCCCATTGCCACCTACCTTTCACAGCCCATGAGGTGGGGAGACCTTCCCAGCACCGCCCGATGAGCTGCAGCTCAAAGACTTTACATTCCTGATGGTCACTCACTATGGAGTGCTGGTGTAATGCTGTAGGATAGGCACTGGACCAGAAGATCGGTCTGAACCACAAGGTTGGCAGTTCAAACCCACCAGCCGCTCCTCAGAAACCCTATGCAGGATCGCTATGAGTGGGAATCAACTCGATGACACTCATCAACAACAACATGGTCACTCGCTGGTAATGGCAGAGGACTTGCTCTCTGCAGGGCCAACAGTTTCAACTACGTGCAACATTGGTAGGAATTCTAAAAATACATCCAAGAGAATGCATTTAGACTGATCCCCAAGGCTGAATGTCACCACCTTCTGACCCAGTCAACTTAGTACAGCTCTCTGGTGGCATGCTGTGGCTGTTCCTCTGCTCTTGGACAGTGATTGTCACAGGTACAAAACGTAAAGCAATCCAGTGCTCTCAAGGTTAACCATGCTTACCTCTGGGTGCCAGCTCACAAAACTGGCTCCTCCTCAGCTATACTGGGGCTGTCCTTAGCCTTGTAAGCAACAGTGCAAATCAGATTCTTTGTAAGCCATGTCAGCTACCACACGTCAGTTTGGGTCTGTGTCTCAGATTGCCTTCACATAGAGTTATGGTTTTGACGATCACAATTCTATTTGCCCCTACCACTCTGTACTGTGCTTCTTTCTACAGCATCTGCTTCACAAACAGGTCCCTAGGGTTTGCAGGGGTTGATGCTGACTGCCTTCCCAGGTAAACCAGACATATGGAAACATTTTCAATTTGATGGTCTGATAAAGGGCCGGAATGTGCAAAATCAGGACCATCTTGGAAAAATATGGCCTCTCCGTGGGTCTTGTAGTCCTGGTGTGGTGCTGTAGGATAAACACTGGACTGCTAACCAAAAAGTCATCAGTTCAAACCCACCAGCCACTCATTGGAAACCCTATACAGGGTTGGAACTGACTCAATGGCACTTAACAACAACAACCCATGTGTCTTAGTCTGGATTTTCTAGAGGAGCAAAACCAGTAAAACGTACATAGAGAGAGAGAAATTTATTTCAATGAAATGACTCTTTCAATGTGGTGCTGGCAAGTCCCAGATTCATGCGTCAGGCAACAGATTGGCAACCTCTACTGGCTTACAAGGTTGTAAGACTTGATGAATCCAAAATCTACAGGTGAGGCATCATAATGGGGCCTCTGATTTCTCACAAGGTTGTGGTTGTGGGAGCTGACAAACTCAAAATCTGCAGGTCATGCGGCAGGCTAAATCTTCAGGTAAATCTATGCCCCCAAAACCAGAGGTCAGGTAATAAGAGAGCAGGATTGAAAGAGACCAAGCTTCACCAGATAGCCATTTACATACCGGAGGCAGGCCACACCCCTAAGGAAACGCCTCCTTTGATAGATTGGCTGCTCACATCAGATCAAAAAACGGAAAGTTATTACATGTCTCCCAAACCACTTAGGATTATAACCTAACCAAGTTGATACATACTGCCAGCCATCACAATGTGAGTGCAAAGAAAAGAAGATTGGTTATAAATGTGGCAAGTGTCTCAGATGCTAAGCATTCATTTTCTTTGGTGCTGGTCCTTCCATTTCTAAGGCAGGAGTGACAGAGCCTCCAGAGAGAAGGGAATGGCTAAGTGTCTCCTCTCCTGACTCTACCTTCCTCAACTCAGGGGAGAGTAGCCAGCAGCCAGCTCCCCTGTGCAAACCCCAGACACCTGTTCTGACTGATTGGAAATGAGGAGACAGGAAAACCCCAGTGGATCTCCAAACAGTACTGTGAACATTCTGGAAAGCAAGCACACAGTCTGAGATGAAAGGGGAGAATCACTGTCAGGATATTGATTAGAAATCCAAGTGTTATCAAGAAGAAACTTTGCCTCACTGGCAGTGAGACCCTGAAGCCCAGAGAAGTGGAGCCTGGCGCTCTCTCAGACCAGAACTGGGTCCCCCACCATAACTGGGTCACTCCTTGTGTGCAGAAACACCCCCACCATTGTAGGGTAAAATTCCAGCAGGGATCACATGGAATCAGAAGGGATGCTGTACAAGAGTGGGATTGGGCTCACACATCTTTTAATATGAAACTTCCCAGTGAAGCTTCCAAAAAAAGTCAGCCAAGTCTCACTGGTGATTTGGGCATCAAAACCAAGACCATGAACTCTTTAAAGTTGGGAGTTGTTTTGGGTCTACCAGGCGGCTAAGCAGCACCCACCCACACAAACAGGTAAAAATACCCTCACACAATGTTCAGCCCAAGGACCGCAGCTCCCCTGAGTGAGGGGAACTCATGCTTCATGGTGAGGGCATCGGCTTTCTTTCACTAGCTCCCCTCTCCCTGCCTGGGAATGCCCCAGGGAGAGCAGCATCTTGGAGCTCAGGTAGTATGGGTCCTGAGTCTTCCACATTCCTCTGCAGGCTTCCAGCTTAGCAGTCACCTCCTGCAGCTGATTATCCTCAGGTACGCTGATGAGGAACTCCAACTGGACTTCGATGACTTCCTCAACTGCATGACCCGACTGGAGAATGCAAGCCGTAAGTGTTCTGGGCACTGTGAGGGTCCTCGGCTCTTTATGAAGAGTCTAGTCTACCTCAGGTACCTTCTGTTGCCTTCTATGAACCAATAAGAATCAACCTGACAAAAACAATGTCAAAGGCAGACCACAAATAGCCACCACTTGATTTATGTGAACTTGGGTGGTTAACTAAGGAATCTGAATTTGTGATTCTTCTCTGCAATGCATTTCTTTTGAAGTAATTCTTTATGTTCACAGTATCTTTGCAGAAGGGTAATAGAGGTGGGGTGAGATTCCTGCCTCATCTCTAAGGAAAGGATCCAATTTCAGGTCATCATAGCTTATGGGACCAGAAGACTCTCTCTGTGTTGTATAAGCTGCCCTAGACATTGACCCAGTCACCCTGTTATCTGATACAAGATTTGTTATACCAAAAACATTTGTTGTTAGGTGCCATTGAGTCAGTGCCGACTCA